AACTACACACTGAGTCTAGATCCTGACCAAATCCTTTTTTATTGTTGATCAAATGTTTTTCAAAAATGTATTCATACACATTTAGAAAAATACAATATACAATCACAACCAATACAACACAAATTACAAAAAATACAGAAAAAACAAACAATAACAACAATCAGACAAGAGGACAAAACTATGGAAAAATAAACCCTCCCACCCCCAGATCCGGACCATACTTGTATTATTGCTCATTCAATCTATTATAGCATGCTAACAAATGGTACTTACTTTATTTTTACAGATCTGCATGGGAGACGATGGCGCGATGCAGAGCGCTGTCTGTGATTGTGCATAGGAGATGTACAAATGCAGCCACGCTGCAGCATTGGCAATATTTGCCATGTGGCAGATCAGCTCCACAGATGTGAGTGCCAGTGGAGGAAGCCTGGCACTTAAAAAGTAGTCCAGTCGGTGTCTCAACTTTACCAACAGCGAGAGGAGACATACAACCCACTGGCCAGAGACATCGCCAACTGTCAACTGGGGGGTTGTAAACGAGGCCGAAGGGGTGAAGGCTTAGAATCGAGTCTGGTCTCTTTGTGAGTGAGTCGGGTGTTTTGGGAGCATCACCCGATGGACTTGTGCAGCCATCTGCCCTGCTGGAGGTGAAGTGTCCACACAGCCAGAGGAACATGACCATCGCGGAGGCAGTCCAGTTACCATCCTTCTGTCTTCGTGAGGAGGGTGGGTCATATATTCTCAAGGAGAATCACCCATACTGGCACCAGTCCAAGGGCAGCTGCATATCACAGACCAGAGTCTCTGCTACTTTGTTGTGTGGACCACGAAGGAGGTGATCATCATCCCCATCCCCAAAGACCCTGCATGGCATGGAAATCTCCTCCTCCTGGAAAAATTCTACACCCAGCATATGCTCCCTGTGTTGGCCAGTAGAGGTAGATTGTGGTGGAGATGCTGAGCAGTTATTTAATTGTTGCATGTAATTATTATTATTCTGCGTGCTTCTTAGTTATTCCATCTTTTGCTGTAACATGGATCTGTATGTAACTCTATATTTACTTGTTATCTACCACTTCCTTCTACATCATACACCATCATTATACATGATGGTGTATATAGGATATATATATTTGTATACATATCTGTAAATTGTATAATTTTATTTAAACATCTTTTTGATCTCTCAAACTGAGTAAAATTGACAATAAAGTTGACTTTGAAAAATATATATATTCTTTATGAAAATAGTTGACTGTTGTCAAATGAATCCAAATGAAACGTTGGACTGAACTACAACTACGCCTTTAAATCTCTACGGACTGTTTTTCAGTGGGATGGCAAGTTCCTATCTTTAAACATTTATTAGTTTTTTCTCAGAACAGATTTGATTTTCTGAAGTTAATTTAACTTTGCCGACCATGTAAGGTCATCATTAAAAGGTACAATCAATTTGTTTAGGTTTGACTAAAATAATGAAAAACATTTAATTTGGATAATTTACTGACAGAATAAGAAACTCAATGATGCTCTACTCACCTGTTCCCTTTTTATAAAGTGAAACAGTTGAAACGATAGATTTGAGTAAACTTAAAAACAACCTTCTCCAAAAGCTATCAAGGAATATACCGAATACTTACAATACAATACCTGTTACTCATATATTAATGTCTTTGTAACTTCAGTAAACCACTACCTCACTAATTTCTTTCATTCATCACGGTTCAGTAAACTAAGTGATACATGAACCAGTTTAATCATTATAATAACGTAGGATTGCAACTCTTTGAAACTGTAGGTGGCTCTTAAAAGAGCCGTTGTGTTTGGGTGTGCTGGTCTCAGGTCAGTCTAAGCCCTCTCTCCACGGATGCGGCGGGCCAGCTGGATGTCCTTGGGCATGATGGTGACCCTCTTTGCTTGGTTCATCTTGGGGGGCAGCTACATGGATGTCGGTGCAGTCCACAATCATTGCGCAGTTGAAGGCAGAATTAATGTATTATTGACTCCGAATGAAGCACAACTTCATGTCATACAATACAATGACTTTATTTGTAATTGTGTAAAAAAATATGAGCATTGATTAGCAAGCAGGACCTGCAGGAACAGAGAATGGTGATGGATGGAGCTGGGAAGAGAGAAGAATAAAGAAAACAGATCAACTTTATTATCGGATATTAAAAATTCAATTTCAAAACAAGTTGCCGCTCCTACAGTTTTCTAGTATGTAAAGATGATTTCACATGACCTATGCAAAATATCACACTCAATACATGTGTGTCTCTGGGGGGTGCATTGTGCCTTTGATGTATATAAATAATATACCATAACCAAATACTATTACGTACAGTGGAAATCAGGTTGCCAGAGCAGGTCAGTGTGCATGTTCCTCAACGTCTCAGCAGTTACAGGTGAGGTAAAGAAAATAAAAGAGAAAAAAGTCAGTAACAACACTTAGTTTAAAGTAACAACACTTTGAAACACTTTGAATAATTATCTCTTCTAACAATTTTCTCTCAATAAGCACACAACGACTGTCTTTCCAACAAACAGATTGTCATCACAATGAAACACGTCCAGAAGAATGACATGCAAAGCTCCATGCCTGCCTTCGACTCTCCCTGAACTGCTTCCTTAGCACCCGGTGGAGGGCGCAGTAGGCTACTCTTCAAATGTTTCACGAAATACTTACCATCATGTTTGGTTACTGTTTAACATTTTGGTTTACTTCGTGTAATAAAATAATAACTTCATGGTAAGGCTACTAAAAATGACAAGGCTAAGTAATGTAATGCTAACTAACGTGCTCGCTACTCGTCGCTACTAGCTAGGTAGCTAACTTGACTATGTTCCATGCACAACATGTATATTACCTATGATATTACCTGATATGTCTGATCCAGCGACTCCTGGTCCTTTCATCAGACGGGAATCGATAGAAGGAGCAAGTGGTATGATCACTTTTATGACTACAACCTGGTACAAAGCACACAGGCATCTTGTAAAAGTGAATTTATTTGTAGCGATCTATAATTGATTGGAGGGAATAAATCAGTTATGAGATCTTCTTCTTCTTCGCTTTAATTACGAGTCTTATTATAAATCACCGAGCATGCCTGTGACATCACTTACGCGACCCAGAATGGGATTTGGGATTTGTAGTCTTTGTAGTAGCGTATTTTTCATAGTCTTATATTTCAGCAGTTTTACGACAAAATGTGACTTTTTTGACCTGGAAATGATTGTTTAAGATTGACAAACATCATATGTGTAGTTCGTGGCACAATTCAAACGTGATCAAAAGATACGTGTTCTCTCTCCATTGAATTCAATGTACATTTTTCGCTTCCGGGGTCCCATGGTCCGGAAGTAGATGGGCGTGACTTCGCCTCTCCATAGGAAACCCTTAATGTTTGAGCACCCTCTATGAAACGTCAAGCTACCCCACAGCACCCCCTAGAGAAAATCTCTGGCGCAGCCACTGGCCACCTGCACTAGCGAACCTGACGATGCCCATTACCTGCCTTTTAACTAGAAACAGAAAAGATGGAGTGAGTGGAATGAAAGGTATCCATGGCTTTTCATAAAATTAAAAATAAATGTGGATGTGAGATTTGCAAAGAGGCAAAACGTATATTGATCTCCCTGCCGCTCGCAGAAAAATACACGGAGTGCACCTTTCACAATAATGGATTCAGGGAAAATCAGCAGTGATCAACAGAATAACCTTACGGAAAAATATTTATAAGATTTATAAGCACCATAAGAGCCAGCACACGAAAAAGCGATCAAGATTTTGGAGATGAGAAAAAAAGATGTCCTACCAAACAAGGTAGGCCTATTTGCAATCAATGTTGATCTAATGCAGGAAACATACATCTTTCAGTCAACAGAGCGTGCGTGTGACATATTTAGTAGCAGGATGTGCACTGAAAAATAGGGCTCCCCCGAATTTAGAAAATGGGTAATTCGAACACTGGTTGGAAGCAGATGTCAACCCTCAAAACCAGAACTGCTGAGGTAGACATACTTTATCCAGTGGAAATGTTTTGTTTTTTATGACGAACGAAACAAGATATACCCTTCTGCCTGTGTACTCTGACTCGTTCATTGAGGAATGTTGCTCAACAAGGAACTAGACCAAGCAAAAATGATGTTCATCAATATTGATTTTCATTGTGGTTTTGTTTATGCATGATGCATCACAAGCTGCTGTTTGTTGTACATTGTCATTAAAGAATGGGGAAATTGGTGGCCTCTTCTCGGAAATGTTTTAATTACCCATGTGATGGCAATTGTTGATCTGCTTATTACTTGAACCTTGATTAACTTGTGAAAGACACACCCTGAAACACAAGGGGTGTGTTTCAGGGTGTGTGTCTTTCGACTGAATATGTGTTGTGTTGACCCCATCGACAAAAGACAGAAGAATGTTTGGAAAAAGAAAGAGAGAGGTGTGGACGAGCTCAGGCTGAACAGAGAATCAAACACAAGCAACTTTTACCAAAGTAACCATTGTTTCTGTCACGTATGAAACCAAAAGTCAACCACCTTATCTACCTTAGTTTGTGTAATCAAGGTGAATATTGTTGCCCTAAATCGATCTTTTTCTGAACCTAACCAATACGTAATGTAGTTGCCTCAACATAACCAAGTTGCTAATTTTCTTTGGATTAAGAAAGTTAACAACATTTTACGAAACTGCGACTGTGCGTCTTTATCTGACAAGTTGGGAATGCCTTCAAATTATATGCAAAAATGCTAATATGACATGGGACAAGTGTTTCGAAGAGGTCGTGTCGAAAGTAAACAAAATAACACTTTAATAAAATAAAGGAGAAACATAAGAAGACTGAGAAAATATCAGCTTTGTGGGTTCAGGAAACGTGGTCAAAACCATTTAGTCGCCAACAAAACAGCACTTCCCATTTGGTTGTTTAAGGGCCGCGGAGCCTTACGCCGTATGTCTTTAAACCGGTTATGTGCACACATCACACACTCAAACACACCATCACAGTGTCCCATGCGACCCTGTCTGTTTCTGTAGGGGTTGTTGAATTTCTGCCCTCCTGCCTGATCTCAGGACAGCTAACCTGACGGAAACTGAACATACGAGCAGCTTTCTAGTCTCTAATTGTGTTCAGTGAGCGGCAACGCTCTCAGCTCAGCAAACAGCAGTCACACACTTTCAGCAGATGGCCTCTCTGCCACAGGTGGGTGTTCATTTTCTATATCTCATGGGAGTTGATCTCCACCTCAGCAATAACTCTGACTTATTGTTTATAATGGAAGGAGTTTAACTGAAATGTTTTGTGTGTGCCTACAATTACATTTACTGATTTTAAAGTTTCCGTTTGAATTCAGAGGCATGTAGGATATATTTGTGTCTAATGGAAACATCAGCCTGTTTGATATTAAATACATAAACCCAAACACACCCACTAACAGCAATGTCATGTTACATAAAGGACACGTAGGCTTCTGTCATCAGCATTGGTATTTGCACTCCAGTTAAATACTGCAAACGGGTTAAGGCACGTCACACACACAGCTCTCATAGTTGCTACCTGGCTACAACTGAAGTCACCTGTAACGCAGTAAGTCTGAATATTTGTTTATGTGCGGTAATATATGTAATTTGCTGGATGATTTAATGGATAACAGTGTACAATCTGGTAAATGCAACTCACATCATTTTAAGTGTATTCATCAATTGGTTATTTGTACTCCTTACATGTTTTCAAGTGATGCCATTTTCTCTTGAGTTGCCTTAAGTAACCAGGGTTTTGTTGAACACATTAGTAATAGTGAACTACATTGGTAGTAGATTTTTGTGAACTGTATTCATCTCTAGGTTTCAGATTATAATATAAAAATCAGTTAATAAATATACAGTTATGAGTTTTGCTTAAGCAAAAAAGGCCAGAAAATTATAATAAGTAAGATATGGAACCATTATAAACATATTTTGTAATAACCAGCAATAACTGCTGATATGTTAATGATAAAACTAACATTTGTTTAAAGTGGATAGACTTATTATATTATAGGGAGAAAGATAATATATTCTACCATGCCTCTTGGGGTGAATGAATCCCCTTCTAGTAATATGGAAGCTTTAAATTACTTTAAAAAAATCAAATTGAGTAATAATACAACAAAGAGTCAGAGTCTTAACGTCAAATGTAAGAAACATGTCTGTCAAGTTAGTCTTGTAAATCCATGGTGCGAGGAAATAAAACGAGTGTATCCATCAGCCAGCAGCAGCTCTCTGAAGGTGCAGTTGTCCTCTGAGTAGAGCCCCTGAAACACACAACAGATATTAACCATCATTGAACTACAAAACCATGGAGTTTCTTGGGGGAAATTGTATTTTTTGCTTACCTGCCCCCTCAAATGACTATCCATGCAGAGAAACAGAGATGATGACTGGCCCTTGATGACAATTTCCCCTGTTTTCACTGATTTCAGCTCTAGCACACCTGGAACACAAACATATAAATATACGTCTTTACTGGACCTCAAACTATCCCATGAGGATGTCTTTGATAGTAAAATATCCTCCAAAACATGCTCTCTTTCTGATTTATCTCCCAAATACTCACTGTGAGGAGTCTGAGCATCACTTCCTGACACTCTCCCATCCAGGGTCATCTGCAGATATGTCCCTCTTCTGTGATTATCTGCATCATGAAAAAGGAAGGAAAGGAAGAAATTAGCATAATGGATAAAAGAGAAGCAACATTTCGTCAATATGCAATATTAAATCCGTGGTCGTATAAATACCTGTGTAGAGATGTACCTCTCTGACTTGATTATGGAAGGATACAATTGGGTTGGAGCCAGCGAGATAAAACGACAAACAAACCAGGTACAGCATAGTTATCTAACAGTATCATGAATGAATAGTAAACTTTCGCGAAAAGCACCATAACTAATGTAAAGGAGGGGGGAGGGGTAATAATTTAAGGAGGGCAAGGGTTCTTTTAAATCAGGTGGAGAGCAAAACTGGGTAATCAAGGAGACAACTACTAAGTTTAAAACACAATTTATTCAGTAGAACATAACATCTTTACTAAGAAAACTAAAATCAGAGCCGTCTAAAATATAATCTCAGTAAAAAGATAGTCTAAAACTATGTTAAAATACAATTAAACGTAGTTAAAACAATACAAATAATTCAAATGTTAAAAGGGTTAAAAGTATTTTCTCAAAACCAGTCTTTCCAGGGCTGTGAAGGTGCTCCGTTGACCCTCTCGGACTGCCGTGTCTTTTAATCCCTTTGTTGCGTGTGCCTCTGTTCCTGGTGCGTTCTGCTTCTGCCGTCTCCTTCAGTCCCAGTTTCCGTCTCTGCTCCCGGTGCGCTCTGCCTCTGCTGTCTCCTTCAGTCCCAGTTTCCGTCTCTGCTCCTGGTGCGCTCTGCCTCTGCTGTGCCCTTCAGCCTCTCTCAGTTTCCGTCTGTCCTCTGCTGCTCTTCTCCTTCCCTTTATAGGCGTGTAAATTGGCTCCAGGTGTGGTCACTCATTGTCAATCAGCATGGCAAGGCCAATCCAAACATTTCAAAATAAAAGCATGCAGCAGGAAGTTAAAACCAGTTAAAAAGGCAAACACATTTCAGAGTAAAATCACACAATAAAAAGGTATAAAACACACACTTAAAACCATGCAATAATGAATAATTAAAATACATTGCATGTGACATCAACATGAGTCTTTCTGCAATTGAACATCACCCCTGGATGTTGTGGTCTGTTTCTGACTAAAGGCGAACATGGCATCGGTGTCGCTCAGCTCCCGCCTCAACAAGGCCGTGCGCCAGCAGTACATGAGCCTGCCTCAGGGGGAGAGGGTCCAGGTTACCTACATCTGGATTGATGGCAGCGGGGAGGGTCTGCGCAACAAGACCCGGACCCTAGATGTTGAGCCACAAACCATTGATGGTAAATGTCCTGTTTTTGGAGTCTTTTTCACCCTTTAATTCTGAGCCTCTTACACTTTCACATAAAGAAAAATGTCAAATATGTGTGGAATTGTTTTTTCTATGGGGTATAACTATTGACTCTGCTCTTATATGAATTATTAAGGGCTTCAGTAACTTAATTTACAAAGAGATTGATACCTCTCTTTGGTAAAAATGTAGGCACAAACCAAAGTTCATTAGCTTAGCTTAGCATAAGGTCTGGAAGCAGGTGGAAACAGCCTGGCTCAGTTCCAACTGTAACATAATATACCTTTAGGGCTTAATAATTAACGCTAAGCATATCACTTTTGTTCAAACCATAGAAAACTGAAGTGTAAAAATGACTTGTTGTTGTTGAATGATTTCATATTCTATTTATTTATTTGCCTTCATCCTCATCTTTCCTTCTTTTTTTTTCAACTGATCTGAGATCATGGAAATCCCCCAAACTAATAATACTTGGTTTTTACCTGACTCCCGTCTAAATTTAAAACGTTTTCCTGCCAATCACTTGTAAAGGAGATATAAAGGCTATTTTTATTTGTAGGCTACTCTGTAGTACGGTGAGATTACATAAAAGTACTAACAAATAATGTACATGGAATTAGTTTTGGTGACATCACAGCTAAAGTAGTAGCATATCTGGTTTAAAGGCTGAGTTATATTTAGTAATGTTTTGATGATAACATTTAAATGTGTCTTGTCAGATATTCCTGAGTGGAACTTCGATGGCTCCAGCACATACCAGGCGGAGGGCTCCAACAGTGACATGTACCTCGTCCCAGTGCGCATGTTCAGGGATCCTTTCACCCAAGACCCCAACAAGCTGGTCCTCTGTGAGGTGCTCAAATACAACCGCTTACCTGCAGGTACATACTGACATGTTGTCAATGTATTATTATCCTGTTCAGTAAATCAGGACAAACAAGTTGTACCACTTACCTCTGTTATGTCATGTCTAGAAACTAACCATCGGATGAACTGCAACAAAGTGATGGAGCAGGTTAAAGAGCACATTATTTGGTTCGGCATAGAGCAGGAGTACACGCTGTTGGGAATAGATGGACATCCCTATAGCTGGCCCACAAATGGATTCCCAGCACCCCAAGGTACATCATCTGTGATTATTTTCTATTTCTTTTCCGTTCATTTATCCAATCCAATCCAATCCAACTTTATTTATATAGCACTTTAAAAACCTTTAGACCAAAGTGCTGTACAGAGAGATAAGCTCACACAACATAATATAAATACATTTAAAATACAAGATACAAACACAAAACAAACCAGAATAAACGTAATAATTAAAAAATAAATAACAGCCATATAATAAAAAACAATAGACCACTGAAAGCAAATAAAAGCAACAATCTACTTGTTTCTGAATGCCAAGGAGAAGAGGTGGGTTTTAAGACAAGATTTAAAAGCAGTCAGTGTGGGAGCCTGTCTGATGAGCAAGGGCAGGTCGTTCCACAGTTTAGGGGCGGCAGCAGAGAAAGCACGGTCCCCTCTACGCTTAGACTTTGTTTTTGGCACACTCAGGAGCAACTGATCAGCTGACCTGAGAGTGTGAGTGGGCGTGTAGCTGTGTAACAGCTCAGAGAGGTAAGGCGGGGCCAGGCCATTGAGGGCTTTAAAAGTAAATAAAAGAGTTTTAAAATGAATCCTCAAATGAACATTCATGTGGAAGAAATATCGAGAAAAATACACTCTGTAATAAGCATTCTTTATAAAGTGTTTTTAAGTTGATAACTAATGATTATTTACTTAATGGAGCATCAATATTCAAAAACAAGGAACATGTGAAAAAAACCATAAAATCTGCAGCTGTTTAAATAGCTGCAGGGAAGAAAAAAGGAAAGTTAGCTTTCACACAGTGGGCGGGGCTTAGGGTTTGCTTGACTGATGTCAACATGCTGTCAAACTGTCTCATTTATGAACAGTATGCCAAAATATGTTTCTGAAAGTTCACATGTTATCAGACTGACCTACCTACAGTTGGATGGTTGACACCTTGTTAGAATCCTCGGCTGTGATTGGTTGTTTTTCTTTAATGTATTCAAGTGGAATCTTTCAAATGCCATTAGAAACACTGGTTGGAGAAACTGGTTTGTTTTCACAGATTATGTGTCTCATGGTTAAGGTTAGGGTTAGGGTCAGGATGAAGGGGCCCTTTTTAAGCAAATATGACAACAATTATTAAAGTTGCAAAGTTGCTATTGCCTAACAATGTTGCTACAAAAATAAAGTTGTTTTAGGATTGGCAATTAATGAAAATGTGTTATGTTTTTTTTGTACAGGTTTATATTCGTTTTTGTCTTAACAAGCTTCCAATTATGTCACCCAATTGAAGGACCCTACTACTGTGGGGTGGGGGCAGACAAAGCCTTTGGACGGGACATTGTGGAGTGCCACTACAAGGCCTGCCTCTATGCTGGGGTCAATATCTACGGCAGCAATGCTGAAGTCATGCCATCTCAGGTAAATGTCATTCTTATGCGCAGTGGAAAGACGATACTAAAACGATGCCTTAACTTGAATTATTGTTCCTTGTCCTTTTTGTTTAACACACCAATTTCCTAATTAATCTAATTATCTGCTTACTTCAGTGGGAGTACCAGGTGGGACCCTGTGAAGGAATTGAGATGGGAGACCATCTGTGGGTTTCACGCTTCCTGCTGCATCGTGTGTGTGAAGATTTTGGAGTTGTTGCAACACTGGACCCCAAACCAATGACGGGCAACTGGAATGGCGCTGGTTGTCACACCAATGTCAGCACCAAGCAGATGAGGGAAGAAGGAGGACTGGAGTGAGTAAACACACCCTTTAATACTCTAAAGTTTATAATGAATGTATTCACTATAAAACACCTTGTCTAAAATTGTCTCATGAATTGAACCTTACTCATATTGAAGTATTTTGTCTTCTCAAAGTAGAAATGTTAAATGTTAAGTGAAAAAATTTACTTCCACCAAATGTATGTTTTCTGTGTCACCAAATGTTTAAGGATAGAACATTCATTCAAGAAAAACTACTTTAAAAAATATGACTGTAAAAATTATTTTAAAAGAAAAAACGTACTTATTTGGACTTGCATTCACCAGGCATCATGCCCACACAAACATGAATTCAAGTTAAATAAAATGTGGTTTGTTAAGACAATACTATTTAAAGACAGCTTTCAATAGAGCTAGCAACAGAAACGTTGTTATTTGCTTAGCAACACATTACTCCACTATTTCTGTACAAAATGTTATTTGCTGCTATATCAATGCTCTGTATGCCATACAGAGCCTTTAACCAGGCTGCATTGTATTTACATAAAAAATAAGACATTGTTACTCTTTTTTTTGTGACAAAGCTTGGTCATATTTTGTGTCACTTATAAAGTTCTAAAACTATAAGTAAATAGATAACATTCGTCCACAGACAGTCTCTGGAGCAACCAATATCTAAACCGTTTTTCTTTACTCCTCTAATGACAGGTTTATTGAGCAGGCCATTGAGAAGCTGAGCAAAAGGCACAAGGAGCACATCCAGGTGTATGACCCGAGGGGGGGGAAGGACAACATGAGGCGTCTCTCAGGACACCACGAAACCTCTAGCATCCATGACTTCTCTGCTGGAGTGGCCAACCGAGGGGCCAGCATCCGCATCCCCCGCCCGGTGGGTCAGGAGAAGAAAGGCTACTTCGAGGACCGTCGACCTTCAGCTAACTGTGACCCGTACGCCGTGACCAAGGCCATCGCATACACCTGCCTGCTTCATTCAGAAGACATGGAGGAGAGCGAAGAAGAGAACATACCTGCTATGTAGAAAAATATACAAATAAACATCTGCCTGCTAGTTAGACACTTGAAAAATGTGGGGACATAAAGGATTCAGGTTTATTGATGTTGCTATATTTATTATGAGATACATTTTCACGAGATACAGTACTAGTAAATGTTTCTAGAAACAGGGAATATCACTTTATGTATGTTAAGCCTATGTATTATTATTACATGTGTTGGGTAAAGAGAAATAAAGACACAGCAGTGCTCTACTTGCCGGGATCGCTTGTTTGTTAAATATTAGAATACAAAATCAAATGTAAAGTAAAAACTAAAAAAACTTGGGATTAGCAGTATTGGTTTTCAATACTTTCTGAGATTTGATTAATGTAATAGGCTATTGAAAGAGATGTGAAGGATTTTCTTTCACAGGTTTTTTAAGGTGGTTGAGATTTTAATGTTCTCTGTCAACATCAAATTAACAGTGAATTATTGTTTGGTCATCATATTCACTTTACAAATTCATTTAAAAAGTGATTCTTAACCCTGGCCTCATCCTAACAAAAGTGATAAACAAACAAAGTGTTATACTAATTATCAGTGTTTCGTCATCTTTATATCCAACTGTAACAATTACGAATGAAGATTGAAACCTTGAAACTAATAGGTACAGCCATATTGGTTTAGATTCTGATTCCCTTTTTGATTGCCAGAAAAATCCAACTACAGTTGAATATAATCTGACCAAATCTACTACAGTAGTGTCACAGATTACCACCAGGTGGAGCCACTAGTATAGTCCTCCTCTCACAGTGCCTCATCATGTCAGTGCATTTAAACAATTGTAATTCACCAGTCAGAACCACCTGGAGAGAGGTCAAGGTGTCACAACAGACCAACACCGTCTATGTGGCGCTTTGAGAATAATGATTGACATGTGGTTTGGAATAATGGAGCATTCAACCACACAAATAAAAAGATTGCAGGCAGAAATGTGTGATGAATGAGTCTCTCTATGTTCCTCTCAGTATGGCAGCCTGATGCTTGGTGCACCTGACATATGGCGTTTCCATCTCATCCTGTTACTTCCGACATACAATCCTCTCACTTGTAGCCCGGCAGTGTCAAAATGACTCAGTATTCAAGCTGTTTGAGGGGAGGTTTTTGCAACATGAGTAAACAGAAAAAAAGGAATTCTGAAGAGCAGATCAGATGCCAGCACATACCAGATTTCCATGGATACAGGCAGTAACTTGGCAACTGTGATGTTTGTCTGTTGTCATGGAAACATCCGTCGAGCAGAGCTTTTAGCAGGAATATCAGGAGCCTGGTGAGATGAGGGCATGGAGAGAAAATAATGTTCATATCTTTGTGTTTAATGTCATTTTAGTTTTTTAATGTAAATGCCACATATACTAGACCCATGATAAAGGCTGTATGTGAAAATCGTACAGGGCGTCATCTTTTTTAATGCAACACAGCCTTCATAACTTTCACTGCTCGAGCTGCTGATGCTGCACATCTATAGGAAATCCAGTCAGAAACAGGAAGTGCTACAAGAAGTAGGAAGTCATGTGAGATATTATCATGTACATTTATTTTCAGTTTTTAATGTTTAATGTGTAAAATTAACATTGTTTTGTCTTTAGAGATTTCATAGTTGACAGTGTAATTACTTTAATGTGTGTTTATAAGTTTGAACGTTTTACTCCTCCTGGGAAATTCAAAGATTTAAGATTCAAAAGATTTAATGTCATATCAAATTTCGGCTAACTTTTGTTATTTTGCATGTCTGAATGTAAAATGCAGCATACATAATTATATGTTTACACATTTGACATTTTATCATATTCTAAATTTGATATTATATTTGTATCCTCAAATTGAACGTTTTGATTGTTTTTTCTAGTCCAACAAGTAATTATATTTGTTATATTCAATGGTTAAATGTATGTTTAAGATCGTAGTTGGTCATTTCAAACATATAAACTAATACATGTTTATTATATCAAATCAAATCAAGTTATATTTATATAGCACATTTATAAAGATTTTTGGTCGAGCCAAAGTGCTGTACATATAATAATATATATATAATATCTCTTAAGAACTTGGAGAAAAATATCCCTCCCATTACTTTCACTGGGTTGTCAGAGTGACGTCACTGGTCTCGTGGGGGGGTGGGGGGGGGGGGGGTTCGCGGCAGCAGGTGAGCGCGCAGCATCGCCTCCTCGCTGTTTCAGAAACGCAGAGCGGCGGAGTAGCGGAGCCATGGGAAAGCTTCAAGAATTTGATATCACTTTTACCAACAACAAGGTGGTCTACGGTCCCGGAGAGTCTATTAGCGGAAATGTGAAAATACGAACCGGCCACTCGTTGCAGTACAAAGGTAGGAAGCTTTTCTTCAACATGTTTATGAGAGAGGAAACATGTTGCCAGCGTGTCTTTCACGCGCGACGCAGGCTCGAGTCGATGTAAATAAACTTTATTTAAACCTCTTTGATGTTGCTGGACACGAGGATGAACTCAAAGCTAGATATCAGGCGCGTGGTTGTTTCTCAGAAGGCTTAAGGCTCATTTTTGAAACTGTGGACGTGATAGAAATGTTGGTGCGGACATTAGGGGGTTTGCTGGTGCTGGGCTGAGAGTGTTTCCACCCTCCACATGACACCAGCTCTCTGTTGTTGTTAGTTCGGTGCTGTCGATTGAAAACCACATCCTGGTTCGCATCCTGCTCGTGGCAACATGTTGCTTCCATGTTTTGTGAAAATGTTGTGGAGAAGTGTTCAAAAAGCAGAACAAGTGTTAGACACCTTTTTATTACTTTATTAAAACCATATTTAGGCTTGGGGGGTTACTTAAAACATTGAATTGTGTTACAATTACCTGTAAAACATGTGTAACTTAAGAGGTAATGTAAACTGATTTCCTTTTGTAACATAACAGAACACTGTAACCATAGACATCTTGTAAATCTGCCTTTGCTCAGTGTTTTTTTTAAAGAAAAACCTGCCTTTCATTAAACATATTCAGAAAGTAGTCTATAGACCAAGAGTGAAACACATCACCACCACACACAAAGTTAAAAAAGCTAAATTACAATCTGGATAAACAGAAATGGCTCCGTCGTTGTATAAAACGTACAGAATATGGAACCATTTCCACCCAGTGAAAGCATTTTTTCGAATTAAAAGCCACAATGATGGATTCGAAGATCCTCTATGGTTTCACTCAATACTTTTTTTCAGTCAGGAAGTGTTCTTTATATATTTTAAAACGTATACAAATATTGTTATCCTGGTAGTAATACCCTTTTTTTTCTTTTAAACGTGCCAGTAATCTGATGACATATTGTAGTCCATGCAACTGTCAGGGAATACCGTTTTGTATTCTAATGATGTAATCCTGTGACATGTATTCAGTTACTCCCCCAGCCTGACCATATGTCTTAAGTCTGCTCATGTTCCACAGTAAAGAAGGACATTGGAAACTTCTGATGCCAACAACTTAGACACACTTGTGGGAATAGCTGCTAATGAAGGGTAAAGTAGGTGAGCAAGGTGGAGAGCAGCTTTTGGAGTTGCCATGGAGGTACACAAATAATCTATTGTATGCAAGCGATCCTTGTGGGGATTCTTGTCTGATAATAGAGCTGCTATCAACTTCACCTAAAGCTCATTTTTTACATTACATTGCATTTAGCTGACGCTTTTATCCAAACGACTCACAATAAGTACATTCGACCAGGAAGACACAACCTTGAAGAAAACAGAATCATATAAGTACATCAGGTTTCATAGAGCCAAACATTTCAAGTGCTACTCAACTGGCTTTAGGTAAGCCAGTCCTTTATTAGTATAAAAGTGCTTCGTTAATAGTTCTAACGCTCGAAGTGGAGTCGAAAGAGATGAGTTTTCAGTCTGCGCCGGAAGATGTGCAAGCTATCTGCCGTCCTGATGTCAATGGGGAGCTCATTCCACCATCTTGGAGCCAGGATAGCAAACCCACGTGTTTTCGCCGATGGGAACTTGGGTCCCCCTCGCAGCGAGGGCGCAACGAGTCGTTTGGCTGATGCAGAGCGTAGTGCACGCGCTGGGGTGTACGGTTTAACCATGTCCTGGATGTAGGAAGGGCCAGATCCATTCGCAGCATGGTAAGCAAGTACCAGTGTCTTGAAGTGGATTCTAGCAGTTACCGGAAGCCAGTGAAGGGAGCGGAGGAGCGGAGTCTGTCACAGAAGTATGTTAATTGACTAGGGACGTTAATTAAGAGGTTTCCTGGGAAATGCAATGATTGTCAGCTGATTTTTGGCAACAGAAAACCCTTAAAGTTCCAATGTATCACTGGGTTCAGACAGAAACTGCAAAACAGCAGTGATATTTATTTACATATTTATTACATTAGCCCAAAAACAACACCTTAAAAGAAATTTGACGGGTTTTGATTAGGATTCTGTGAGACTTTGTACGTCTCCTGTTTTTGTGTCATATTGAGAAAATGATACATAAGGTATTAATGATAATAGATGACATTTGTATGGCGCCTTTCACAGGACCCAAGGCCGCTTTACATGGTGAACAAACAAACAAAAGGGACAAATAATAAAGTAAAACATTATATAAATAGCAGTAGGAGTGGAATATTGGCTTGTTACCTAATTTATTTTGAATTTTCTGTCTTTATTTGATCGATAATGTCCGAAGTGTCATCAGGGTAATAATAACCCAGAAAAAAAACATATCCATATTAATGGGATCGCTACAATGATACAGATTTAAGAGTGGTTGCACTTCTGGGGCCATTGGCATTTTTTTTATTTATCATTTGTATCTATCAACCCAAACATCAACAGACCTCTTTAACTGAAGACTGGTTTTCCATCCTTTTATTTGCCATCATTTCCTGGCTTGTTGTAGGGCTGCTCAATTCATCGTATTTTAATCGCAATTACGATTTTGGCTTGCAACGATTATGAAAACATCATAATCAAAATAAAACGATTATTCATTTATTTTTAATTAATTTGGTTTTAATTAATTTTTATTTAAAAAAAAGATATATATTGGTTTTTCAGTTGAATTATACTTAAAGTTTAGGGTAATCAACTGTTAAAAACATACTGTTCACATTTTCTTTCCTTCAATAAATGGATGTTTTCAAAGTAAATGGATAATCGTTTTTAATAATCGTGATATCAATTATTGACCCAAATAATCGAGATTATGATTTTTGCCATAATCGAGCAGCCCTAGTAAGCCTTGTTGTGCCTGTATGTAAGGCATAGTGAGATTAATATGCCATAATGCACAGGCTGACCTGCAGCAGATGGCGTTCAGCAGAGGTCAGATCTTACACACTAAGGTCACACGGTTGCGGTGAGCCTGTACCTGACACCAGGCGTTTATCCCCAAATTAATTCTCGGTGGCTTTGGGCGAATGTTGGCTGTCCTTAAAGAGGAAACCGACAACAAGAGCTTCAAGTAAACAGCTCAATACATGCCAGATGCTGGAACAAGCATGTGGAAGGGTTTTGATTTAGGATTTGCATTAGCTACAAGCACATGAATAGTATCTGTTGCATTTACTGGCAGTCTGTCCATGCACTTTCATTTCTCTGTAAATCCAAATTTCACACCTGCAACAAAGTGGAAAACCAGTATTCTTTCAAGGCTCTGCACTCGGCATCACAATTGATATGAACGCTGAAACTAAATACATCATTATACATTCTTTTTATGAATATAATACATTTGAGTATAATATTTCTTAGGGTTTATTACGTTGTTTGATAGGAAGACTTATTTGAAAGTAGGTCAAACACATCATTTTTTACTTTTGACTTGTCCGCTCTGCTGTATATTCTTATACACAGATTATTTGTATGACAGACTCTATAACCACAAGGACAGAAAGGACAAGAGTCTAACCTGTTTGTAGAGGAAACTTCTGTGTAGCATGCAGTGGAGTCACCGACTCAGGAAGGAGACACGGGAAGAGTCGGAGCTTTGATGTCAAACCACTGTGATTTATTTGGAGTTGGTACCAGAGTATTCACATCACAAATCCAAGAGTCAGAGGTTCTGACTCCACGGTAGAGTTGCCACGTCAATTCTGGAGAGCCTCTCTCTTGCCAGCCCATCTAACTGGTTTCGCAGAGAGTAAACAACATATTTGAGGAGATAGCCTAAACAGTGTGGGAACACAGAGCTACTTGCCTCGGACACTTATGACCTCGAAGATTTCACCTTGGAGTCCACAAATACAGAGAAGGAAGTGTCCCAGTGTACCCACAACACAGACCATCTGTATCCCAGTATTGACCGGTCACAGAATGGGAACAATAACATTATTGGCTAAGCCGCCTGTGTCCTTAAAGAAGGTAAACAGACATCGAGGTTTGTCCTGTATGTTACTAATTGGCGTCTTATGATAATTATTTCCATAACACTGTTAATACATATTTTACATTTTCATAGTCATGGAACCTTTCATTGCAGTCTGAAAAGGTTTTATATTTGTTACATACAACAGATGTCTCAATATTACTTCTGGCACTCTCTTATAAACAACTCAAATGCCTTTATTGTAATGGCATTGTTGTGTTGGAGTTGGGAAACAACTGTTGTGCAAACTTCCTGAGAAAGACTTGATCATTGTTTAAAATAGTTCCTTTGAGTTTTCTTGTGATTGTTCTGCCTATGTGTTTTGATTCCCTAAGAGCATTCCAGGAAGTGCTTCTTCCCGAAACCAATTTGATTTCAAGATAAAATAAGTAGAGTTCTCTCTTTGCCTTTCGTAGTCAACACATTCTGCCCTGATATATTTTATAGTTTACAACATAACAAACAATGATCGTTTTGTCCTTCAAATAATATTGAATCACACTTTAAGCTTACCAGTGTGTTTTACGGGGTGATGTATAAGATATTGTTTTTGCCAGTGGACCATAAGTCCCTCAGTCCTCCACTCACTTCCTTGTTGAAGGCACTCCAACTGCTGAAACTAAAGAAGCTCTCTGTCTGGCTCTCAGCCGGTCCGTTAATGTACTGTAAATGCCGAGGCTGCATTATGTGTCCAGTGACATCACCCCTCTCCACCACCGCCGCTGATGATTCCTTCAATCAGACGGCATGCCGAGGCAGGAACATGTGATTGTGTGCTTTGTGGGAGCGTGAGAATTTCCTGTTTTTGTGTCTTCCTGAGAAAACAATACAGAGAAGTTAAGGGTTTGGTACTGTACCTAATTGTATTCATCTTTTGGATTATTTTGGGACAATGTCCTATTAAGTTAGGTGATGAGTCATAAGGGTACATTTCCAGAGAAACCCCCGTATTCCTGGTAATCGCAGTGTATACTTCTAAAGAATATCTACTATGAATGCAAACTGC